TGAGACCTGAGAAGCCTTGTGTGTCTAGACAGATGCCTGATGCATAGTAGGCCCACCTCCCCACGCTGCCTTCTGCCCCCCACTAAATCAAAGAAGGAGGCCATCCTTCCAAGAGGGAAAAGAGCAAGGTGAAGAGGCTTCTTGGGTCTGGGTCCATGAGTCATGAGTCAAATGTTTGAATATAAAAACCTCTAACCAAGAGCACAGGTGGCTCTGCAGGTGTGATGTCCCTGTAGTGAGGCGGGTCAGCCTCCTTGCCCTTGTCACTTCTCTTCTCCGGAAAAGAACAGCTTGCACACGTCCCATGACTGAGTCTCCTTCCGACTCTGATCGCCTGGTTCTGCATCTCTGGGCTTAGCTAGTTTCTCTCAGTTGCTTGTTCTCTGCTGTGACCATCTTCATGCCACCCCTTTCCTAAGCGTTTTCTATATCCCATTGAGAGAAAACCAGTTGAGCATGCTCTCTCTGTGTTTGGTTTTGGACTTCCATTTAATTAGGTGTTAATCTCATTAACACATTTCTGACCGGCGTGGAGGCTTTTGTTTGGTTCGTTTCTCCCACCAGAACTAAGCTGTGCCCACTCCCAACTCCCACGGCTTAGGGTTTTCTGTGATTTATCGTTGGTCTGATGCCAGCAGTGCGTTTGTTCTAAACCCTTAGAGCCTGAGTGCTGTGGCTTAGATGGAAGACCATTGGGGCATCTCCATGGATAGAAATCTGAATTCTGCCATGGAGCCAGGGACCGTGTCACTTTTGCCATCACACCTTTGATTCCAACCTGAGATTGTTTCTCCTTGTGTGTGTGAGCACACTCAGAGGCACACTCTAGTTCACACATGTGTGCGCCTCTTGGTTCTTTGTCTGTCTCGCATGGCACCCTTAGGAGTCTATTACCGGCAGTCTTTATGTTGCCTTTGAGACAAGTTATCCATCTAAAGATAGGTTGGTTCTCACCCTCATGCTGACGAAGCTCAGATTTATTTTCAGCTGTACCGATATCGATCCTTCTGGCTCCGCGTTGGAACCTGGTGTGCTGGACCTAAAATGTTAAATGCAACCAGATTTTCCCCCAAATAAATGTAGATAATGTGTGATTCCAACCTGCCTTCAGAGCTCTTGATAAAGAGTCCCATTGAGTGAAGGCTCCCCGAAGTCATCTGAAACTTAAGTCCTGTGAAAATATTCAGGCAAGGGCGAGGCGTGTTTTACTTACCTCCTTTTATACTGTAAGTTGAGTGTTTAATAACCTGTCATTATTCAGCTCCCATCAAGTTCAGCGTGTGTGCCTCGTTACTAGGATGGGGATAAGAAGCTAAGAACCGTGGACTCCACTCCTCAGGGGTTTGAGTTTAGTTGATGAGATTCAGAAACACAGCCATGAGCAATGTGTCCGTGAAAGTGTATGGATGGTGGCATATGCTCTGAAGGGAGAGAGCTAAAAGACTGGGCTGGTGCCACAGCTGACCTGGGGGAAGCAGAGGCCTGCTGCTCTCCGGGGACAGGACAGCTTCCATCTCAAACTCCTGTCCAATCTCCTTCTACTCTCTGGCCCTAAGCTGGCCGAACACAGGCTGTTCCTTGAAAGTGGAGACTAAAATCTTTGCATGGAGCCCTGAGGAGGTGCTGTTTCTCTATTCCTTCAGTCACTCCATCCTTGAGATCGAATGCCTCTCACCCTACCCACTGTCATTGGTACCTGTGTAAGTGTTTAACGTGTTCCCCCCATATCAGTCAGGATCTCAGCAGGAGACAGATGGCGTACTCAGAGGGCCATTGGACAGAATTTAACGTAAAGACTATCCAGGGAGGCATAGGCAGGATTAAGATCATCTACACGGCACGCTCACCTGCCCAGGGACCAGCAATAGCCAGACGCTGTTGCCCTCTACGCCTAAAGCAGCGGTTCTCAACCTGTGGGTCGTGACCCCTTTGGGGGTCGAACGGCCCTTTCACAGGGGTTGCCTAAGACCATTGGAAAACAAAGATATTTACATTACAATTCATAACAGTAGCAAAATTACAGTTATAGAGTAGCAACGAAAATAATTTTAAGGTTGGGGGTCACCACAAGATGAGGAACTGTATTAAGGGGTCGCGGCATTAGGAAGGTTGAGAACCGCTGGCCTAAAGGGACAGCGGCGAGAAGCTGTTCCCGGACCACAGCACCAGCTGTTGGCAGTGGAGGGGGGCTGCCCATAGCAGCTGTGGCCGTGGAGAAGGAATGCAGCCTTGCATAACTGGAGCGCCAAAGAGAGGGGGCAGGAGAACTCAAAACTCTGAGCTGTCTCCTTCCTCCATGAGGCCGTCTGCAGAGCCAGCCTCGTGGGGTACAGAGCAGTGCAGAGAAGGTCCCTATCCAGAAACAGACAGACTACCCAGCATGTCTCCCGTACTGCAGACCAAGGCTGTCCCTCCCCCAGTTGGTGACAGCGCCTTCCCTAGCGGAGCTCTTTCTGGGCTGGGGGGGGGGTCACCCGGCAAGCTTTGGCTAGCTACTCTATGATCATTGATAAAACACTAAGCGATTCTGAAGGCTCAGGGAGGATTGCACTTAAGTACTTGGACCAATGATCCACTTCCATTAAATTCTAAATGCCTCGGTCTATATGAAGCAATCGTATCTTCAGGTGGAAACAAAAATGTTAACATGTTTCAGGAAATCGGATGTCTTCACTTGAAATCTTTAAGAAAACGGGTACAACTTTCTCTTGTAAATTGATTTATCTATCTGTTGATGGCTCTGATGGCTTAGATGCCTGCAAGTATCTAGGAAACTGTACAGTGCTCTCCTTGATGCGGATACGAATATTTGTAATGGAAGCTGGAAGTAAAATTTTCTTGGAAGAATCCATTGGATCGCTCCAAAGTTTCCTTTTGCTCATACTTTGGAATGCTTTTGAAAATTTTTAGTTAATAAGGCAGAGTAGAGAATGCCGTCCAATCAACACATGTTGATGTAGGAACACTATATCTGAAAATATTTCTATCATTTATTCTAACCCTAAGTTCCGCGGTGAAGAAGTACCTGGAGGAAGATACACAGAGAGATGTGAGCTAAACTCAGAGTGCTATGAAGGTTTTTTTGGTTATTGTTTGTTTGTTTGTTTGTTTGTTTGTTTGTTTTATTGTCGAACCATAATAGCGAAATGGAACCCAGAATTGTGTGACAGAATTGCCATTTAGCCCCCTTTCTCTTCCAAAACTCAACTTTTCACACAAACAATAATGACCGTTATTATTTATTTAGCGCTTGGTGTGGCCTGAGGGCTGTGTTAAGAGCTTTACATGTATTAACTCATAACAACCATTTGAGATAAGGGACATGACTAATAACAACACTTTAGAATCTGAGGCAGTTGAAGGATTAGTTACCATGCCCAAGGGTACAGCTGGTAAGTAAAAGACTTCGAATTTGAACCTTAGGATTCAGGTTCCGAAAACTGTGTTCTTAAATTCACCCCTCGGTTGCTCCAAATTGCATTTCTGTACAGCTCTGGGGCTCTCAAAGCCCTTACTAAAATATTTATAAATGTACTTATTCACCACCCCATTCCTCAAAAATTTACAGAAACTTTATTGCATGTAAATTTCAGACTAGTCCTGGGAGGTAGGTAGTGCTATTCCTCCTGTATAATCAGGGAGCTGAATGACTGAGCAAGTAAGTCACCCAGTGAAAAAAGAGCCGAGCCGGAAGTCAGGTCCGGACTTTCTGACCCAAGTCCAGTAATCCTTCTGCTGAACCACAGCTTCTTCAAGTCTCCCCCATCGGGAGCAGGAACTCCTGCCCCTGCAGAGATAAACTGATGTGGATTGTAGTCGGGGCTGCGTGCCTTAGTGGCCCTGTGCTCCCAGCCAATAATTTCAGCTCTCCAAGCCTCAGCGTCCTTACCCGTAGAACTGGGATGAAAAGACCTACCTACCTTTGTAGGGTTGTTGCCAGCTTTAAATGAGTTACTTTAAAGACCAGGATGTTGTCACTCGCATATAAAATTAAATTTTAATATATAAATGCAGAGACATCATTTATTATCCAGTTATCCCTGTAAGAGGTGAATCAGATAAAGTCACTCCCCTACTGGAAACCCTCCTTGGCTCCCCATAACATGCAGACGCCACCCTGGTGCTCTGACGTTTGTCCACCTCTGCCTTCATCTCATCGCTGTCTGTTGGAAATCCAACCCCAGGACCTTTGCACTTGCTTTTCCTTTGCCCACATCTTCACGCGGTGGCTTCCTCCTTACCGTTAGCATCCCAGCTTGATTATCGCCTCTTGAGGGCACCTCCTGGACAACTGAACTGTTCTCCACTCTAGCGTTATATCCCGTGTAGTGTGTATCCTCTAAGTCCTTGCCTGTCTTGCATGCCATCACCTGTTTGTTCTGTGTTTGTTTATAGCCCACTTCTCCCCACCAGGCTGTTAACTCCAGCTTTCTTCACTGTTGTATCCCCAGCTCATAGGACAGTGTCTGGCACATCGAAATGGCTCAGTAGCATCTGTTGAATTGATGGATGATAAATAATCTTACCTCGTTAACTAGACTGTCATTCCCGGAGGTGTTAATCATAATTGGCGATTGGGCTCCTAGCTTTCTCTAGCCACTTACTGTAGGGAAAGGATGTGTTACCGCGTTCTGTCAGTTAAGTTAGAGCAATTAATTTAGTTCACATGACAGAATTTCCATACGTTTCCATGTGGTCAGAGCCATACAGAATGCATGTCAGTGCTGTTAGCCTCTGTGTAGCGTGTAGTGTTGTTTAAAACATGATAAGCAGTCGCAGGAAAGGGTGCCATGACGTTGGGGTAATTTCTACCATTTCACTGTGAGGCGCGCATCTGCACAGACTGCCCATTCATGCCGGGCTCTGCGACTGTCCCAGGGCAGGACCTCAAACCCTTGGAAGATGAACCCACGCCGTCCTTCAAAGGCCTTGTCTAGACAAAGGTGGAGAATTGGGGCTTTGCATCACCTACCTGTGTTGGAAGGCCTGCCCTCCCATTTACCAAATGTCATAAACGCATCTGTGCCTCCCTTTCCGAAACCGACCTCATAGGACTGTTGGGGGACTGAAATAAATCAGTACACATAATGCACTTAGAGATGTGCAAGTGCTCAGTAAACCTGTTGGCTGCTGTTCTGTGTCATCCATGAGAGCTGGGCAGGCCTGGGTCCCTGTTTTCGCTCAAGGAGAAGACAGATGAGCAGTAAAAAGCAGTAGGCGATAAATTCCAAGTTTTCATTATTACTACAACCAAATTGAGGCTCATTTCAGTATTCCCCCCCTAATGTTGAAACCAGCCTCTCCTCCCTCGTGTTTCAGAAGAGTGTCACGTGTCTATTTATTGAGTGATTCCAAAGAGCCATGGGGATCTGCTCTCACTAGTGCGTCTCCAAAGAAAATGTTTTGCAATCTCTTTAGTAGCTTCGCATCTCTGAATTTCAAAAGTGCCCGAGGAAAGGAAGACAGAACCCTTCTTCCCCTGGGTTCCAGAGTTCACTCAAAATCATGCTCCGTCTTGCCTGATCCAAAGTGTTTTGGATGAAAGGAAGGTGGAATGTAGGGACGATATCTGTACAAGTGAGACTGCAACGTGACCAGCGAAGCACCACACAAACAGGGACCCTGAAAAAGCCCACTTGATGAAAGCAAACCAGATAGGTGGGCAGTTCAGTAGGTGGTGACACAGAGCTTTTCAGCAGGTTACCCCTATCTGACTGTCACCTGCGGGACTGCTCGTGACAGGGAAGCATGTCATTTCAAATCGAGCACCTTCTCTTTTTACCATGAGTCTGTCTAACCAGAATTCGACAGAAGCCTATTGGGGCATATGCTCTTGGAACATATTCCAAACCCACGGCAAGCTGCCCATTAAAAAGGCATTACGAGTGTGAGTGCCGTGGGAAAATACACACTCCAAGGTTGTAGATGAATTGATATGATTGCGTTGATTGTATCTTCTTATTTATGAGGCATAATTTATGAGCAAGCGCCAGAGAGAGAGCAAACTGCAATGAGTGATGACTGACCACAGCCCGAGTCGTAAATCAGGCGAGTGTGAAGGCAGTGGGGATTCTGATCGAACCTATTGAGTTAGCCGTTGGCCGTAGTCCGCGCAGGTATTGAAAAGACCTTTTTAATATCTGTTTGTCTCCCTCCTGGGAATGTGATAACAATCCCATACATGCCCTTAGGAAACAAATAATTTAATCATTTGCCTGTTAACATGCAACCTATTTACTCTCCTTATTGATTATGGGCATGGCTGTTCGTGGTGGGTTTTTGTTCACTTTGGGTGTGAGTTGTCAGGGAGTTCACATGCTCCCATTTTCGTAAGTAACGATGTCGCCTACTGGTGCTGCTCGAATACAAATGTGTCCTCGGTATTGTGGAAATACTCTCATTTTATCAAAAATTGCCATTATTCGACCAGGAAGCATGCTATCGAATATCCCAGAAGTTGCAGAGACCTCAAATATTCCTCCATATCTTAATCCTCTGAGAATAACACTTATAATGCATCTCATAATAAACAGCCTGGAGAAAAAGCAAAATCTCAAATTGCTCCAAGGGCAAGGACGGTCATATCATTTATATTAGGAGTCAACAGATTAGGGGGTGTGTGTGTGTGTCTGTGTGTGTGTGTGTGTGTGTGTGTGTGTGTGTGTGTGTGTGTCTGTGTGTATGTATGAAAGATCACTGGCTGAATTTGGTTAGTCCTGCATTCCACTTTTTACAGAAAATGATAACAAAAACCAAAAAGACATCAGCTGGATGCTGACAGTAGAGAAA